AAGAATAGAATTAAAGCCTGATGAGAGTTTAAGACTTAGTAACTGTGGAGTCCAGTTCTTTCATTTTACTGATGAAAAAACGGTGGCCTACAGAGGATCAAATGACTTTGCTGAGGTTACTCCGCTAGTTAATGGCAGAACTAGGGCTAGCACCAAGACTCCCCGTCCCAGCCCTTTCCGTAACAACACTGGTTAAGTTTCCTTGACAAGATATATGAATTCAAAACCAGTCTGACTTCAGCTATTGTTTATCCTTCTAATGCTTTTTCTGCTTAAGGGTGTGTGTGTGTGTTCGCAACTTCTTTATTCACTTTATGACTCATAATTAAAATGCAACAAAAGCTCCTGCATACTAAACCACAGTTTACTGAAATCACTTCTTTAAAGAATGGCAGCATGGTCTGTGCCATGTAAATTCTGACCTTGGAATATTGAGTTGTAAAGTAGTTCTTTTTTAAAAATATATTTTTATTGATTTCAGAGAGGAGGTGAGGGAGATAGAAACATCAATGAGTCATGGATCAGCTGCCTCTTGCGCTGGGGATTGAGCCTGCAACCGGGCATGTGCCCTTGACCAGAATTGAACCTGGGACCCTTCAATCCACAGGCCGATGCTTTATCCATTGAGCCAAACCAGCTAAGGCTGTAAAGTAATTCTTATAAAAGTGTGGGATATTGATTTAAGCTTGATTTAACTTGAAACCTTAAAAAAGGAAGAAAGACAGCAATTTCATATTTTAGCCTTTGGACTTGATTTGAATTGTGGCCAAGTGTTTTGTGAGTAACACCAGTCTTTAACTATTTTTTTTATTGATTTTTTACAGAGAGGAAGGGAGAGGGATAGAGAGTTAGAAACATCGATGAGAGAGAAACATCGACCAGCTGCCTCCTGCACACCCCCCACTGGGGATGTGCCCGCAACCAAGGTACATGCCCTTGACTGGAATCCAACCCGGGACCCTTCAGTCTGCAGGCCGACGCTCTATCCACTGAGCCAAACCCGGTCAGGGCTCACCAGCTCACCAGTCTTAAAAGTAGTTGTTGGAGCCCTAACCGGTTTGGCTCAATGGATAGAGTGTCGGCCTGCAGACTCAAGGGTCCCGGGTTCGATTCCGGTCAAGGGCATATACCTTGGTTGTGGGCACATCCTCAATAGGGAGTGTACAGGAGGCAACTGATCGATGTTTCTCTCTCATCAATGTTTCTAACTCTCTATCCCTCTCCCTTCCTCTCTGTAAAAAATCAATAAAATATATTTTTTTAAAAAAGTAGTTCTTGGAAGGTATAAGGATTACATGAACAATGTCAAGATCAAAATTTTATTTACAAAGTGAATAGATGAGGTAGAATTTGATGTTTTCCAACAGTCCATGATAATTTTAATGTATTTGGTAGAACCTCCATATCTGAAAGTGAGTTGTCCTTTTAACAAAGTAGTCACCTTGGGAGAGTGTGTATGGCCACTAATTGTAGCCTTTTAAAAAGTCCTCTGTGGAATTTTCCTCAGCTAGATTTCAAACTGCATCAAGAAACCAGTCTTATTATTTTTATATTTATAATTTTTTGAAAGTCAAATTTTAGCCTGATATACCTATTGACTGTTAGACAGGATCCTGATTGAATTTTTAAAAATTGAGATAATAATTCACCTGCCATATCACTCAACTTTCAAAGTAAAAAATTCAGTGGCATTTCTTATATTCACAGGGTTGTGCGACACAACCATTAACTTGTTTCAAAACATATTCATCACTCCAAAAGAAACTCCCTACCAATTAGGAGTCACTCCCTCAACTCCTGACAACAGAAAGTAGATTCTGACTCTAGATTTGCCTATTTTGGACACTTCGTATATATGGAATTATATTATATTCAATCTTTGTGTCTGGCATTTTCACTTGGTATACTATTTTCAAGGTTCATCCACATTGTATGTATTAGTACTCCATTCCTTTTTATAGCTGAATAATATTCCATTGTATGGATATACCACATTTTTTTCACTCATCTATAAATGGATATTGGGTAATTTTCACTTTTTGGCTGTTGTGAATAGTGCTGCTACGACACATTCATGTATAGGCTTTTGTGTGAATATATATTTTCCATTCTCTGGGGTATATACTTACAAATGGATCATTCTGGTCATATTGTAACTCTAACTTTATGAGGAATATAGTGTTTAATGCATTTTTATATAGTTCTAATATAATTATTTTCTACAAGGGAAATATTTTTTAATGGCAACAATCAGATATGTAAGTTCCAAGATCAGCAGTACTTTAGATATACCTGATTTCATAATAATCTATGTGATTATTCACATTCAGGAGAAAATTGTGGAATGTTAAGGAAATGTGAGAGTAATGAGTTTAGTAAAAGAACCTTTTAGGATTCATAGAGATAGCGGCGTTTAAGAAGCCACTGATCAAAAAAAAAGTTACTGACTAGTTGTTGCCTGACTTTTCTGATCTGTCATTCTATAATAAATAAGGTTACAGGGTTGATGGACAGAAGAACTTTGCTGTTTTTTATTGTATTTTATTTTATTTTAGTTAATCCTCACCCCGAGATCTTTTTTCCATTGATTTTTTAAGAAAGAATGGGGGGAGAGAGAGAAACATCAATATGAGAGAGACACGTAGATTGGTTGCCTCCCACACACACCTGACGTGGGAGCCTGGGATCGAGCCTGCAACTGATGTAGGTGCCCTTGACCGGGAATCGAATCCGAGACTCTTCAATCCGGGGTCTGACACTCTAACCACTGAGCAAAACCAGCCAATGTTGTTGTTATATTTTTTCTTTCATTTAAATATATATATATTGATTTCAGAGAGGAAGGGAGAGGGGGAGAGATATAAACATCAATGACGAGAGAGAATCACTGATCGGCTGCCTCCTGCACACCCCACAATGGGGATCAAGCCGGCAAATTTGGGCATGTAACCTAACAGGGAATCATAGGTTGATGCTCAACCACTGAGCCATGCCGGCTGGGTTGCTGTTTTTTTTTTTTTTTTTTTAAATATATTTTATTGATTTTTTACAGAGGGGAAGGGAGAGGGATAGGGAGTTAGAAACATCAATGAGAGAGAAACATCGAACAGCTGCCTCTTGCACACCCCCTACTGGGGATGTGCCCGCAACCAAGGTACATGCCCTTGACTGGAATCAAACCTGGGACCCATCCGCAGCTGACGCTCTATCCACTGAGCCAAACCGGTTAGGGCTGTTATTTTTTTTTAAAACTCCTGCTCCCTTATATTTTTTTTCATTTTGCTGTGTAGATATATTGTACTTTTTTCATAGGTTCTTATAAGGCACATTATTTTTTTTTTTAATATATTTTATTGATTTTTTACAGAGAGGAAGGGAGAGAGATAGAGAGCTAGAAACATCGATGAGAGAGAAACATCGATCAGCTGCCTCCTGCACACCCCCCACTGGGGATGTGCCCGCAACCCAGGTACATGCCCTTGACCGGAATCGAACCCGGGACCCCTCAGTCCGCAGGCTGACGCTCTATCCACTGAGCCAAACCGGTTTTGGCAAGGCACATTATTTTTAAAGTCATTTCCTCATTTGTTATACTGTCAGAGCTACTTTTCCTTTGTTCACAATCTTTTTTCTTTTTTTTATTAAATCTTCATACAAGGATATGTTGTTGTTTTTTAATATATATTTTATTGATTTTTTACAGAGAGGAAGGGATAGGGATAGAGAGTTAGAAACATCAATCAGCTGCCTCCTGCACACCTCCTACTGGGCATGTGCCCGCAACCAAGGTACATGCCCTTGACCGGAATCGAACCTGGGACCTTTCAGTCCGCAGGCCGACGCTCTATCCACTGAGCCAAACCAGTTAGGGCACAAGGATATGTTTTTATTGGTTTTTAGAGAGAGAAGAGAGAGAGATATCAAGCCGACCAGGGATCAAACTGCAACCTTTTTGGTGGGTAGGACGACGTTCCAACCAACTCAGCCACCTAGCTAGGACCACAGTGGTTTGTTTGTTTTTAAAGACACCATGCTGTGAATGAGATTTATCCCCATGGCAAGTTTCTTTTCTTTAAAATTTTTTTTCAATTACAGTTTACATTTAATATTATTTTGTTTTTGTTTATAATCTTTAATCTAGAGATTCTCAAATTTAGTTTTAAATTTTCCTGAATTACAGCTTCTCTCTCAATTTGTTAATATCCTTAGAGAATTCTAGATGAGTCTTTTTTGTAGAGCAAGTTAGTTTTTAAAGCATGCCTTTTTATACTTTTCAGAAAATATATTTTTGTGAAAGGGTTAAAAGTTGTAGCAGGCCCTAACTGGTTTGGCTCAGTGGATAGAGCGTCAGCCTGCGGACTCAAGGGTCCCAGGTTCGATTGCAGTCAAGGGCATGTACCTTGGTTGTGGGCACTTCCCCAGTAGGGAGTGTGCAGCTGATCGATGTTTCTTCTCATTGATGTTTCTAACTCTCTATCCCTCTCCCTTCCTCTCTGTAAAAAATCAATAAAATATATATATTTTTAAAAAGTTGTAGCAGAAGGTAGGAAGCAGATGTTATCAGTGGTGGTGGGACCACGGTTGGTTTTGGTGGCAGGGAGAGGACATGGATGGGAGGAGGTTGATCCCTGAACTTTAGCACTGCTTTTTTGAAACTGGGCAATACATAACCTGAATGGTTGCAACAGTATCCAAATGGAGTTTGTACTCTTGTGTGACTCAAGAGGCACTATATCAGGTTAGAGTATTTGACCTACAACTGTGTCCTTTGAATAAACGCTTATGTCAGATTCAAGCTAAATATCAAATTCATTTTACTTAGGTCCCTGTGCTTTTTAGAGGGGCCTCACCTGGGGCTTTAGATTCAGAATTTTCAGGAAAGTAAGTTAAGAATATTTTCTTTTCAAATAAATTTGACATTTCAAACCAGAAATTCTAGCCAGTTGAAAAATGGTGTGCCTTGTGATTTTCCCTTTCAAAATCTCATTTTAAGAATTGGGGTGCTTGCTTCGGCAGCACATATATTAAAAGTGGAACGATACAGAGAAGATTAGCATGGCCCCTGCGCAAGGATGATACACATACACACACACACACACACACACACACACACACGAATTGGGGCCCTGGATTATTTTTCATGTAGTTAGTAATAAAACTTAGTATTCTATCTTGTTTGGGAATTGTTCGATATTTTAAAAATCTGATAGTTTTCTGTCTCCCCGAGATCCAGTTTTTTTCTATTACTAAACAATTCACAGAATTGCATTGTAAATCAAGACTTTTTGCAAAAGCTGACCCACTGCAGAGGATGTGGGGCTGTTAACACACACTCATTTAAATGTAAGTTGGCAAGTGGCATAGCTCTTGCAATTTCATTTAAAAATTTAAAAAAGAAAAGATACTAAATGTTTTAGAATAAGATCCCAAACAGGATTTTGGATGGATTGAGGTGGGAGTTGGGGAGCAATAGTAGCTTTTATTTATTTATTGTAATATATTTTTATTGATTTCAGAGAGGGAGAGGAGAGAAACATCAGTGATAGAGGGAATCATTGATTGGCTGCCTCCTGCACGCCCCCTACTGGGAATTGAGCCAGCAACCCGGGCATATGCCCTTGACTGGAATTGAATCCAGGATCTTTCACTCCACAGGCTGATGCTCTATCGACTGAGCCAAACCAGCTAGGGCAGTGGTTCTCAACCTTCTGGCCCTTTAAATACAGTTCCTCATGTTGTGACCCAACCATAAAATTATTTTTGTTGCTACTTCATAACTGTAATGTTGCTACTGTTATGAATCGTAATGTAAATATCTGATATGCAGGATGGTCTTAGGCGACCCCTGTGAAAGGGTCGTTCGACCGCCAAAGGGGTCTCGACCCACAGGTTGAGAACCGCTGAGCTTACTTAATCTTTTAAGTATGAAATAACTGCTATTCTTCCCATTCAATCTGTTCCCTCATCTATAAAGTTGACTCATCAATAAGGTCAGTACAGCTAGTATCATATCTGGGACTTGAACCTAAATTTCCTGCCTGCATGTTTAGTGTTTTTATTTTATTTTACTTTATTTTTGGGGGGGTACCGGGAGTGGGGTCCAAATGTTTAGTGTTTTTAAATAAGTGGTTTTGCTTTGTGTGTATAAAAGTATAAAAAAGTAACACATGTTCAGGAAAGCACAGTATAAAACATCTGTAATTCATAACTCAAGCTATAGGTGTGGTTTCCTCAGCCATTGTGTATATACAATTTTATGTATACACATTGTTAAATGAAGATTACACATTATGTGTTCTTCTCTATGATGTTATTTTATGTTGTGTAAATTTAGCTCTTGCAATTTCATTTAAAAATTTAAAAAAGAAAAGATACTAAATGTTTTAGAATAAGATCCCAAACAGGATTTTGGATGGATTGAGGTGGGAGTTGGGGAGCAATAGTAGCTTTTATTTATTTATCAGTATATTTCCACACTGATAAGCATAACTGCGTCATACTTCACTGCAGTATAATCCATAATTTATCTAACCAGTCATCTATTTTTAGATATTTAGATTATTTCCAGTTTTCTGTCACAAGTAACACTAGAATAAACATGTCTGCATCTGAATATTTACTTAGGATAAGTTCCTCAAAGAGGCGTTCCTGAGTGTCAATGGCTATGAACATTTGCAAGGCCTCTGATATAAATACTAGAATAGATCTCTCCAGAAAGATTATGCTAATTTATACCTTTCTAATTACTATGAAATTGCTCTCATCAATAAGCTTATTGTTGATCTTGAGTCTGTCATAGTTGACAATTTATAGTTTACTAGGTTCTTAATCAGTTGTTTTTGAGGTAAATAAGTTTGTTGCTGGTGAATAGTTCTAGAATTGATTGAATTGTTGGTATGAATCCCAAGGACTACAAAATGACTGCAAAAACTTTGCCAGAGACTACAAGTGACTTACTACAAAGAATGCTTTCTGTTGAAGGATCCAGTACTATTTTGACTCAGACCAATTCCAACACATTTGTGCACTGATTCTTTTTTTACTCATTAACAGTCTATTTTGAAAAGAAAGGGAAATTTTTTCTTTTTATACTACTATGATTGTACATTTTGATCTTTCAAGGGTGCCATCATCCAGCAAGTTTTTTACTTAATCAAGGATTAATTTGTGTTGTCATTTGAGATAGATGCAAATGGTTAGTGTGCTGAATGAAGCAAACAAGAAGTGCTGCTGTTTTCACATCAATGTTTGAATAAGAAAATAGATTTGAGCTATTTGCATAAGAGCTAGAAAACTGCTCGTGTCCTGAGGTTGACCACTAATTGTTAATATGGTCATTAGTGTTTCTATGAGATAAGAAAATCTAAACAGGGATGTCTTATGTGTGTGTTGTTTGAAAAAATCCACTTCTCTTGTTTCTTTAGCGGCAGCTTTGATCTTATCATTGATTTTCATGCTCATGTACTCTGAATTCACTGAAAAATCAATCAGCGGTCTTTGGATGACAAGGTTAGTTTGTTTTGTGAATACATTTTATACATACAAATTTATTTACAGGTAATTTGAATTTACTGAAGTCAATTAATACTGATCTATAACTTTTATCAAAATTTCAAATTGAAGAAAATGGTTGACCTGACTTTTTGTTACAGGCTTAAAGGAGAAAAGCTTTTCCATCTAAATCAGGTGGTTAAACAGGCCCCCTTTTCTTGGAGTGTGACTTAGAATCCCAGAATCTTAGATGTTAAAAAAAGGAACTCTTGAGAGAATTTGTCCTTCTGCCCCTTATTTCACAGATGAGAAAACTAAAGCTTAAAGAAGTGTTTTGGCCAGTCTTCAACAGCCAGTAAGTGTCAAAGAAAGCAGGTAGTGCTGTCATCTCCAGACTGTTTTTCAAGGTTCTTTCAATTAGACCTTCTTTTGACTGTGAGAGGAGCGTCTTGTAGCCAGCTTTGACCCAGAGCACAATACTTTGTTGAACTCTAGGATTAGATAATGAGTTCATTCTCTTTTGGGAGTTCTTCATAATAGTTGGTATACCAGAGTATTGGTATTCTAACTTTTCAGTACAGTCAACTGAATTCATTGTTTACTGGTTGTTTCCTGCTAGTCCCTGACAGGTGCTGTGGAGAAGACCAAGAACAAAACAGATTTCAGCCCTGAAGTTTCATAGGCTGGTGGGAAAGGCACATATACACAGGAATAGTATAAAAGAATACACACACATTAGATTTTTGTGAAAGCATGGAGTCAGGCCTTAGGAGATGGGTAAATTGAGGTAGTTGAGGAGGAGAATGGTAAGGCTGTCTGGTTTGAGGGATCAGCAACAGCACAGAAGAAGATTCCCCAAACTGTAGATGTTTATAGCAAGAGAGTAGTTTGAACTGGGTGGGGTGGGGATGGGAGGGCAGTTGAGAATTGATGTTAGAAAATATAGGTTGACCAAATTGTTGAGGGTCACAATCGTCATGTTAAGGAGTTGGGTGTTGTTTTGCTTTTTTGGTAGGAAGCTATAAACATTTATAGCTTTTATAAATGTTTTTTAAAAAACATTTATGCTTTTGTTGATTTGGATTTGGTTTGGCTGTTTTGAAAAGTCAGCAGGTTCAGATGGTACAGAATTCAAAAGGTATTCAAAATTAAAAAGGGTGCACAGTAAAGTTTTCCTGTCACCGTGACCTCCTAGCTGCAAAGTTCTTATCCCAAAAGAACCAATGTTATCAGTTTCTTGTGTACCTTCTAAAGAATGTTTTTATATATAAAAGTAAGTAAGTTTATATACATGGAAGTTATTTGACTAAAAGAGTATCATGGACATAGCAATCTTGTTTAAAAAAATGGTAGAGGGTGTAATAGGAGAACAGGAGGCAAGAGACCAATCAGGAAGCTACTGAAATAGTCTTTGCTATAAAGGGCTTTAACTAGGGCAGTGAAAAGTAGTTGGCCTGCAGACATAGAATCAGCAGGACCAAGAAAGGGTGAAAGAGAAAGAGGAATTGAAGTTGATTTTGAGATTCTGAATTTGATAGCTTCCTTAAGGTTTCTAGCCTTGAGGTGTATGTGGGTTGGACTGCCATTAATTGGATTAGGAAATGTAAGAGAAGGATCAAGTTTGGGAATAGAAAACAGGGAATTTTTGGTTCAAGAGGCTTTCAGAGACAGAATCACCTGGCTTGAAGAACATTTGTATCCAGTTGGCCTTTACTAAGTCCTGAATGTTCTAGCAGTGAGTCATTAGAATCTCCTCTGCAGTTTGGTTTTCATATTTTGCTAAAAGGCCTGGGCCCACTCTGAGCATGCTGACTCAGAAAGTGGGACTTGGGTTCCACAAGTAATCTCAATGTGCAGTAAGAATCGAAAACTGTTGTGCCAGTTACCAGGTTAGCACCCAAGGATGAGAAGATGGTTAGCAGTGTGAAAGAAACTCAGTCCTGAAGGGGGTTACAATATGGAGAGGGAGAAAGAAAAAAGTCATGATAGAGGTGCTATGATTAATAGTGACCTAAGAAAATGGTTAGGCCTGTTTATGTATTACTAGTTGTCATAAGATTTCCCATTTAAAATGAGAAATTTCTAAGTCTGAACCATGGCACATAGTAGGCAGCAGGCATTTAAGAGATATCTATCTACACTAATAAAAGAGAAACGTGGTAATTAGTGTACGACCGCTACCCTTCCCATTGGCTAATCAGCATATCCTTATGCAAATTAACTGTCAGCCAAGATGGCGGCCGGCAGCCAGGCAGCTGGAAGCGAACATGAGGCTTGCTTGCTCCAGGGACTGCAGACTCGAACGTCCCCGCCTAACTTGCCGGCCTCTCAGCTGCAACTCTAAGCAACTATGTACTATGTTGCAAATATAGAAGCTAAACAAAACCCCAGAAACTGGCTTTCAGTCAGCCCCGGACCGCAACATTGTATCCATGTTTTCAGCAGTGAGGCCTCAGAGCTAAAGCTGGCCCAGAATAAAAAAAAAAAAAAAAAAGGAGGGGTTGGGAGCTTTTAGTCACCTGCCAGCCGGAAAACAGCCCTCAGCCCCCTCAGCCAGCCTGGCCAGGCACCCCAGTGGGGACCCCCACCCTGATCCAGGACACTCTTCAGGGCAAAC